CGGGAATACCACTAGGGAGGTTAACAGGCAGGCAGCAGTATTCACACACACAGGAGCTGCACTAGCAGGAAGGATGAATGGGAGAGAGAGTACAGCCTGCACCACCAAGCACAGAGGTGTCCAGGAGAAAGCCATCATTACAAGCATGTGCCGAATATTAAAACAGAGCTGCACTGTGATTTTGAAAAGTGAGTGACTGCTGGGCATAGGATCCCCCAAGCTTGCACATCATGAGTGATGGGCGCAGTTTGGCATCTTTGCCCTGGGCGTTGGATGACCTTGTCCTGGTTCTAGATGATAGTCACCTCTGTCTGCTCAGTGAAGACTGAGAACTGAGCAATCTGTGGTCATGTGATCACTTGGTTATTGGTCTTAGGGCTGGCGGGGGACAGCAGTATAGGTGGAGGGGAGGGAGCAGTTTTAAAATTAGTGTTACTACACCCAGGACCCTTCATTCACTATATCTGGTCTCCCACAGTACACACAACATGGAAATGCAATTATTTTAGTAAATATAAACTGCTAAATACCTTTTTTCATCAGCAGTTAGAGCAATCATGTGACTTCTGTCCGTGCCCAGCAGAGCACTGTTTAAAGCTTGTAAGAGGAGTTTTCAATCTCCTCTGACTGTCCTATGAGGCTTGCAGGGCCCCTGACCCTCTGTGTGGACAGTGCTGATTGGCCATGCGCTGATCACATGCACTCTCCCAAGAAAAAAAAACTCTTGGAGTACACACCAAACTGAGCATGTGCAGCTTGCCCCCATGGCTGTCATATCAGGAGATGGGACAGTAGAAGCAGGGGAGGATAAGAGAAGACAGGATCAAGCATCCTTTTTACACAATACATGACAATCTACTTGTCCAGATTTAAAAAAAAACACAATTTTTTTTAACCAAAACTGTATTTAAATCAGAGGTGATATTAGGAATGTCTGGGACTTTTAAAAACAAAACGGGCTGTATGGCGATTTAAACGTTTAATATTTTTAACATTGCGCTGTTTATCTCCTCCTCCCCTCCCTGCCTGTCTGTCTGTCTCCAGCACCGCACCCAGGGACTAGCAGAGAGGGGAGAGACCTTGCAGTGTAATGAGCACCAATTGGCTGCTCCTCAGAAAAGGGGCATGTCCAGCTTATCCTTTATCCATTTTGCTGCCAGAGCCATTTTTGCGTTTTTCGCACAAGTTTAAAAAATAATTTTAGGCCTGAAGAGTACATAAAATTCCAAAACATGATATATTTTCTGAAAGCAGAGACCATAGAGAATAAAATAGTGGTAGTTCCAATTTTTTATGCCGCATGATATTATCGCACAATTTCAGTAAAAAATAGTTAATTTTTTTGGCACAAAAAAGCAATACATTACCCTATTTTTTTTTTGTAAAATATAAAAGATGAGGTTGCAGCAAGTAAATAGATATCCAACATGTCAAACCTTAAATTTGCGTGCGCTTGTGAAATGGCGACGAACTTCAGTACCCTATATTTTCTATAGCCGACACTTTTAAAGCTCCTTATAGGTCATCAGTTTAGCATTACGGAGGAGCTCTGGTGCTAGAATTATTTCTCTCATTCTGGCGTGTGCGGCGATACGTGTCTCGACGTCATGTAGAAGTGTCCCAGCGTGCTCTTTTGCCATTGTACATGCATATATGTGGAGCCTCAATTTTTTTTTTTGGGGGGGGGGGGGGGAGTTTTTAGGGGTTTTTTTTTTTTTTTTTTTCCCTTCACATAGGGGACAAAGTCCCCTACATGATGATTTTTGGTGACAGGTTCTCTTTGTTGAGGCATCCAGGGTCTAAACATGTCTCTCCTGTGCTCCACTGAATGTAATGCAGTGCACTTCGCACCGCATTACATTCTTTCCTGGCTTCCATGGCTGGGAATCTCTCAACGGGGACCCGAAAGTCAACTGAAAACTCTGTCATTTTTAATATTCAGAGCAAACTCATCCATCCATGTCTCCATGATTTATTTTGTTGAGGAAGCACAATGACTGCTTTCTCAACAAAATATATCAAGTGAAAGTTGTTATAGTGTCTACAAACTATGTTATATATGCTTGGATTTATGTAGCTGTGATGCTATACTGACTGATAATGGCAGTGATCAGCAACTTATATTGGGACTGTAATAGTGTGGAAGGCAATCTGGCACTAAAAGACCCTCACTGGGGAGGTACACTAACTGACATCACTAGTGATACTAATACAGTGATCAGATAAAATACTGTACACTGTCATTGTACTAATGACACTGGCTGAGAAGGTGTTAACATTAAGGGGCAATCAAGGGGTTAACTGTGTGCTTAACAAGGGTAATGTGTGTATTACGTGCTGCTTTGACTAAGAGATCTGGCTGTTTTTTCTCCCTGATTTTCAGGGGGAAGAAACAGCCAGATCATTAACTCTGTACAGAGTCCTGTGTTTGTAAACACAGGACTGGGTGCTGTGAGTGGACACAGCTGATCAGCAAGCCTCCGCTATAAATCATTGGGTAAAACCTGCTGAACAAAATTGTGCTATGTCCAACCACAGTGCAGGTCAGCAATGGGCGCACAACACAAACAAACCCAACCGGCAACATTTATTATCGTTGCTGAGCCTGCAGCTGCCACCCGGTTATAGTAAATATCTGTGTCCCATTGGGTAGTATTCCTATCTGTTAGACACCACTGTTGCATAGGCAGTCATTTTACTGCAGAAGAAACAGACAATGTCTCTCCTGAAATGAACTAAAACTACCTGCCTGCTTAAAGCAATCCCCTGAATGTAATCTGAGCTGCGCATGTTCATTCCCTGTGTGCTGGAATGACTAGCCTCTGCACATGCACAGGAGTGATGTCATCCTGTGCTGGCCAATAAAGATGGCTGAAAACCAGCACACTGGAGAAGATACTGGCGCGGTGAGAGACTGTTGGAGAGGCGAGTATTGATCCCTTTACTTCCTGCTTTAACACTGCCATTGTCTGGTACAGTGCAGTCGCACACCAAGCAGGTGTTAGTACATTGCTGTGCCATTTGTTTTAAATGGCTCTCTACTGCATGTACAGAATACAGCTATGTTCAGCATAGAATGGGGACATTTATCAAACAAATTACTAACACATCTAAAAGTAAATCTGTCTGCATCACATTTAGCAAAAACTATGCAACATTTTTTCCTCTTGTTTATTTGCAATACCTATGGCTGTAGTCATGGGCAGTGAACTGCGACAAATTTGCAAAGCTCTACAACAGATTTGTTACTGTACAAACCAGAGCTGAGGGAGGAATTTATAATTCAACTGTTTCCTGCTGTTGTTAAAGCTGAACACCAGGAATTTAGCCACTTTGTAAAATGTTCTGGCTTACTATGGGTTAAAGTGGTTGTAAATCTTTACCTATACCCATTGAAGTGACTGGCCTCAAGTGATATACAGAGATGAAACAAGTCCTTCCACATACCTTGTACCTGTTTATTTGCAGCCATTTGTCCTGTACATCCTTCTAAAACTCAGAGATGAAAAGGATTTATCACTGGCTCACAAAGCAGGGGTCATGGAGCTGTAGTTACGTCGTGTAGGAACTCTGATAACTGATTGGAAGGAAGGGACAATCCCCCCTTCACACAGCACACAAGAAAAGAGTTGAGGCTGTCAATCACAGGCTTTTTACAGGAGATCCCTCTTCTGTCACCTTTTTTTTTTTTTTTTGGTGTCAGGGAAGCTTGTCAGAAGTGACTCCATGCAGATAAAAAAGGAAGGAGAAAGCAGAGAGCAATGGCATTTGGTGTTTTGGAGAGAGGCAAGTAACCACTATAGAAATATGTGCTTTGTTCAGGTTTCATGTCCTTTTTATAAACACTTGAAGTCCAATGAGTTGTATGCCACTTTGTGGGCTTATCTATTTAATGTACAACTCAGTTTTATGGAGAGCTGGAAGTACAGCGGTCACTATACTTCTGGCACTCTGACAGGCGACATATGCTGCCTTCTCACACACAGCTCTCTCTGTTCACATAATAGAAAATGCTTTGTGATTGGGCAAGAGGAGGGGAGCACCAGGCACAGGTAGGCGAATCTGTAGCCGCTGGAACTGAGACCAGAAGGACCAGCATTTGCTCATTGGATGCATTGGGATAGCCAGGGCTTTTTTTTTATAGCTGGAACTTGGTGGAACACAGTTCATCTTTGCAGCTTGGTGTCATTTAGTATTTTACTCTTGATAGGTGGAGCAGATTTAGGTACACATGGTCAGGCAGAGTTTAGGCTCACTGGAGAAAGAATTGTGATCAGCGCCAGATTATTGTATCATAGACCAGATTATTGCATGTGACCTAGGGCACTATAGGGGACAGCACCTAGCACTCCCTCTTATAATACTGTTTACAGTTAGTACTACACACTCACATACAGTAAAAGGTTCCGGTTTTCCACCTATCCGCGCAAGTCGCCAGCCTGCACAGTTTTGTTGGAGACATGCTGTATTATATATATTTTCAGGTGACCTATCTTGGGTCCATACCTACATCTGAATTTCACCGTTTGTATAGAATTTGGTTTTGAATCTGCAAACGGGGTTCTAACCTTGTCTCTGATCATGTTTCTGTGTCAGCATGGTAAAGTAAATATGGATCTAAGGCTGGCCATACACTATACAATTTTCTGTTCAATTTCTGCCCAATTTCCTTTAGATTTACCTTCAACCATGTAGTGCAGGGGCCTGCCTAATTGGATACAATTGAAAGTGTTGTTTAGGTTTGACCTCGTATTATATGGTTTTTGGTAAATCTAAAGCATAATTCTCAAGAAAATTGTATAATGTATGGCCAGCCTAAGTATGGATTTGAAGAGCTGATGTTGATGTGAACAATGCATATATGATCCCAGTCTTGTTAGTGTGATACTAATGCTAGCTAAAGACAGAGATGTAGGGAGCAGTAGTAAGCCATGTTGCTTCTCTCTTATTCAGCTCATTATGTTTCTCATGACTTTCAGATTTGCACCCTTTGACTAGAAATGTTTGGGGACTTGTTTGAAGAAGAGGAAGATTTCTCATTTCTATCAAACAGCACAACCAGTAATGGCAAAAAGGCAAAACCCAAAGATTCTGACGTACTGGAACCACGTGGAGAGACCAGACTAAGTGGCCTTAGGAACCAGGGAGGCACTTGCTATCTAAACTCTCTGCTACAGACTCTGCTTTTCACCCCAGAATTTAGAGGTACGATTGGCATGCTATTTATTAAAACCTTTCTTACTTACTGTTTTCCACTTCTGGGTGTAAAGGTTTTCATATTTGGTGTTTGGACTGTAAAGCAGTCTTCTATATTTCTGAAGAAAATGTTACTTCTTTTCTGCTTGCTGTTGATTCAGCTCATCAAGCCCCACACGCAGCTTAAATACCACTTTTAGGTGGGCTGGCTGTATAAAAATGAAAGGTTCTTTTTGTACCACCTCACCTCAACCTTAATGGCTGTATTGTTTCCACTAGACTGACAAGGCCTATATTTTAAAGCCATTTCCTACACTCGTAAAGGCTAAGAAGCCTGAAACAGCAGTTAATAATACTGGTTCTGTAAAATTATGGCTGTATCTGTGCTATTACACCAGTGGTTCTGGACACAGAGGCGGCTAAAAGGGGCAAAAAGGAATGGTTTGCTTGACTATGCCCACTTACCCATAGGCAGAAACTGGGTTCCTTGTTTTTTGGTTCCATGCTGAGGACATAAATATCATCTTTTCTAAGAAGGTAAAGATGTATCTCATAAGAAAAAGTAATGATGCTTGTTTAACATTTGCTTTTGTTTAGGTTTAGGAAATAACGATTACTAAATTGATGTAACATAGATTAAAAAAATTACAAAATGTAAGGCATTAAAGTGGTATTAAACCCAAAAATATAATGCATTGGAGATTATCAATCGTTAGATGTGGTAAATGCATTTCTTTTCTTTTTTAGGCTTTTTTTTTTCTTTCGGTTTTCATCTGATGATATGGCACACGTCCTGTATTAGAATGCCCCCACTCTGGATGAAGGAGCACAGGGGGCACCTTTTGGATAGCAGCATTGTCAGTCTAGGGGGAGGGGAGTGTTAGAAACACTTACAAATTGAAGCTAAACTCCAGCTAACACTTTATAAGCAGCTACAGCAAACTATTTTTTTCCCTTTTCGAATAAAGGTTTTACATAAAAGCTGATCATTGTAAGCACCCGTCAGTAGTAAATGGTTTTTCCTAACCCTGTACCTGCTACAACTGCAGAACAGTTAGTTCTGCTGAAAACAGCAGACTTACTGGCCAGATCACCAGGTGAAAATAAAGGAAAAAAGCCTATAAAATAATCTGTACATATGGAACAGTGCTGCTCACTAATATCTACAATACCTAATCCAAAGAATAAAACATATATAAAATTACCCCCTATATAAAAATTGTAAAAATTGTGCAACAAAACATATGTACATATAACAAACCCTCCTATATCTCTAGTTCACATATAGTGTAAGTGCAATATAATATGTGACTAATACATAATATTATTTATCATCATATATAAAAGCAGCAGTTTATAAATTATTAACCACTTTCCCTCTGGAAAATGTATCCCCCTTTGTGACCAGGCCATTTTTGGCTGTCGGCACTGCGCTATTTCAACTGGTAATTGCGCGGTCGTGCAGTTCTGTACTCAAACAAAATGTATGTCCTTTTTTCGCACAAATAGAGCTTTCTTTTGGTGGTATTCGATCACTTTTACTTTTTGCACTATAAACAAAAAAATACCGAAAATTAAAAAAATATTTTTCACTTTTGGTTATAAAAAATATCCAATAAACTCAGTCATCAATTTAGGTCAAAATGTATTCTGCTACATGTCTTTGGTAAAAAATTTGGAATTGGAATTTCCACAGCTTTTACTTTCTGACTGCCTATCACATTTCTTGAGGTGCTAAAATGCCAGGGCAGTACAAAACTCCCCAAATGACCCCTTTTTGGAAAGTACACACCCCAAGGATTTTGCAGAGAGGCATGTTGAGTCATGGAACATATTTTGTGCCACACATTTGATATTTTGTGCCACACATGATATATTGCTCATGGATGCTATGGGTATATGTGGAGTAACACCCCAAAACACCTTCTACTTCTATGGGGATACCACATGTGAGAGACTTTTTGGCAGCCTAGCTACATACAGGCCCCCAAAATCCAATGACCGCCTCCAGGCTTTCAAAGGGCATATTTCCTCATATCACTTCCCCACTACCTATTACAGTTTCGTAGGCCCTAAAATGCCAGGATAGTACAACCCCCACCCCCTCAAATGACCCCTTTTTGGAAAGCAGACACGCCAAGGAATTTGATAAGCGGCATGGTGAGTATTTTACAGATATAATTTTTGTCACATGGTATTGAAAAAAAACAAATTTACTCATCATGCCTCTTAGCAAATACCTTGGAGTGTCTACTATCCAAAAAAGGGGTTATTTGGAGGGGTTGCTTCTACTATCCTGGCATTTCAGGGCCAACATTAGAAGCTTATTCCACACGTCACCCACTCTTGAAGCCTTTTCTGACACTTTTTGTTCACATGAAAAAAACATTTTTTTTGGCTTGAAAATTACTTTGAACCCCAAACATTATATATTTGTTTAAAGTAGAGGACCTAGAGAATAAAACGGTGGGTGTTGAGATTTTTTAAGTCACACAGTATTTGCGCAGCAATTTTTCAAATGCAAATCTTTTGGGAAAAATACACTTTTTAGAATTTTAAAGCACAAAAACACAATATGTTGCCCAATATGATAACATATAAAAGATGTTATGCTGAGCAAATAGATACCAAACAGGACAAGCTTTAAAATTGGCAGCAAAGTACATACATTTTTAATATTGATAGGCGACGCTTTAAAAGCCTTTACAGGTCACCAATTTATATTTACACGGGAGATCTTGTGCTAGAATTACTGCCCTCGATCTGACGTTTGTGGCGATACCTCACATGCTTGGTGCAACTGCTGTTTACATACTGGCACGGGGTCATTGCTTGCGCATGCAGTTATTTTGATTTGTTTTATCATTTTTACACTGTCCCTTTTTTCATTTTTTTTCTATCACTTTTATTGCTATCACAGAGAATGTAAATATCCCCTGTGACTGCAATAGGCATTGACAGGTATTATTTTTTGAGAAATCTGGGGTCTATTAGAGTATCTCCTCTGCCCTTACATCATCTGATCTCACCAAGATTGGTGTGATCAGATGCTTTCCCAGTTTACAAATGGCGCTGTTAAAGTCTGGCGAAATGGAAGTGATGAAATGCTCGTAGCTTCCAGTCTCTGATCAGCTCCAGAGTCAGCCAGCGGAACTGGCTGATTCCCCTGTCGGACAGGAGAGCCCAAGAAAACTGTGGAAGGCGGCAGGAGGTGGGGGCGGTGGATGTCCCTTCCCGCCCCGCTGCTTGTTAAAACGATTTAGCAGCTAATTGGCCACTAGGATTGCCTTTACATGAAAGCCGATCGGCAGCTGAAAAAAACTATACCAGGATGATGCCTGTAGCTGCAGGCATCATCCCGGTATAACCACTCAATTCCAGCGACGCACCAGTACATTGCTGGTCCATGTTGGGCATGTAACAGCAGAGAACATGAGCATATGATGAATCAGGTCTGTGGACCAATATGACCGCAATTCATTCTTTTTTGTAATTCCCATGTTGAGGGTTAGGCCCAAATAATTTTTAAATTCAGAAACCGTGATAGGTTTCCATTCAAACTGTCTAGCAAGAGCTGATTTTGGGTTGGCGGCGATGTATTGTGCGTATAAATTGCCTTGGAACACAATCAATTGTTACAAATCTTCCGTGAAAAACAGCGGATCGGCTAAACGCTAGTGCGAACGGGGCCGATCGTGCTAACACTGCAATTTTGGGGACACTATACAAAGCATGGACTAGTATATGTCTGTTCATGATCATTATATTGATCCGTACAAACACTATACTAGTAATCGGGGTGATCAGCAACCTATAGCATGAGTGTGCTGACAATCTAACGCTAGCTGATCCTAGCTGGGAGGGGCTCTTACTGACCAAGACGCTATCTGATGTTGCTAGTGGCAGGAATACAGTGATCGGTGAAAAATTCTATATACTGACACTGTACTAATGGGACTGGCTGGGTGATGGGGCAATCAAAGGGTTTAATGTGCTAATCTAACGTGTGTATTCTCTTCTCTCCCTTCCCTGGACCGACTGGGGGGGGGCGCAGGCGCAATCATACCCCGAAATAGGAAGCGACATAAGATTACGTTGCTTTACCCAGAGCTGCTGCTCACCCGCAAAATGTGCATAAGCGGTCGGCAAGTCGTTTAAAAAAAAAAAAAAGAAAACCCTTAAATTTACAAAAATTCTTAATGGTATTTTTTATTTAATTTTTCTCATTTTATTTTTTTTTAAATACTTTTATCAGAATAGTACAATGTCACCATAGTAACATTGTACTACTGTGTGGGGGGTGATTAGGGATTTTTTTTTTTTTTTTTACACTTTGCTTTGCAGGAGAAATAAAGATCATTTCTCCTGTAATGCAAAGCTTGCTGTCATGAACCTAACTCATTCATAAACTGTCATGAATGAGTTAAGTTTTTGACAGCTCAAGATAGTGATCTGGCTGGAGCTGGTCGCATGGTACAGGGTGCTGTGAATAGCCCCATGTATGTGACATCTGTGGGCCAATCACAGCTCACGAGGAAGAGAAGCAGAGCTGTTATGAATTAGATTGATTCATACCAGCTTTGGTTACATTGTGATCATGTGATTGCATAGCGATCATGTGATCACCGAGTCCCGTTCACTGGGATCTTCATTCCGCTGTTTCCGCCGGACACAGCAGTCGCATGTCAGTACAGCCAGAGCGATGTACTCGTATATCGCTTTGCCTGTAGATGCCGCCCGGCTGCAGTACATTGCGAGCGGATGGTCGGGAAGCAGTTAAAGTGATTAGTGCAATCAAATAAATAAATTAATAAAGTGCAAAAGTGTCCATTAAATAACTTTAAATGTAGTCACATCATCACAAAGTCCAACATAACTCCTTGTGTCCATCCAATATGTAAAGTTCTTCATTAATAAAGCGCTGCTTGCTGTGCAAAATTTACCATGCTAATGACACCACCAAAAAATTTAAATTATAGACCAGCAGAAGCGCTTGTTCTGGGAGTGACAGTCTGCAGCCCACAATCCTATTTTCAAGGACTTCTTAGATTGAGCCTTGAGAAGGAGTCTCCATAGCGTTAAACCATATAAAATATTTGTTAAAACTGCAAAACATATACACTCACATTGTTCCATGTCTCCACTGACACAAGTGAAATGATATAAGATCGTAAGTAAAGTTATCTCTGGCCATATGAGAGCGACTACTGCACGACAACAACGCCGTGTGTGGTGAAGTCCACCTCCTGGCCCTTTCCTACGCATTTCGACACTTGACATCCTCTGGGAACGGAAGGATGTACATCACCTCGCATGCAATATATATAGTGTATTGGATCGTAGTCATAGTAGCCGCTCCTCACATAATACATACAAAAACATATAAAATTGACGCCCAATTCAAAATACGTATTTAACCCAACTAAATGCCTATAATCTTGGAGGCAGAAAAAAAAATATATATAAAAAACTTATCAAACCAAAAAATGCAAATACCTAATCTTCGTATCTACAAATGGCAGCTAATTTAAAGGGCCCCATACACATCTAAAGGGTACCTCTATCCTTTCAACCAATTCAACAGTGTGTTCTATGATCCGCAAAAATTCAATAAACAATTTACATCCAATACTGTATTCAAGCCCTGTGGCCATAAAGTCCCTAATTCAAAAATCCAAAAGAAAGCAAATTCAGCCAACGCATCTAAGAATTGGTTAACTGCAATATCATAAATGTTTAGTTTTGGGTTTAAAGTATAACGGCTAAACCCTTTTTTTTTTTCTTTCAGTTTTGGATAGAGTGGAGAGGAATTAAAACAGAGAATAGATTTATTGCTGTCTGTGCCCCTGTTAGGGAGATTCACCCTTTCTATTTCTCCTATTTACTATTATTATTCAATGTTAAAGTAAAAGAAAATCCCAAATTTTGGTTTGTCCCCAGAACAGTGATAAAGTGGAAAACTTCCAAAAGGAACACTAGTTCTGATGACCCTGGTGACAATCAGGGATTACCTCCTTTTGGAGGGCTTTCCACTCACTTCCTGTTTTGGCTATGGGACAGGAAGTGAAAGGAAATCATCCCTGTGGGACAGAGACTGCAAAAAATAAAACCCTGACTGGATTATACCATATCCAAAATAGATAAAAAGTTTTGCCTTAGTTCTACTTTAACATTTTAGAAGAGTTACATGTTGCCCTATTTAAAACCACATGTATAAACTTTTATACAACTTTTTTTCTGTGAATGTTCAGCGTGGCCCCATCCCCAAGTTTTCCCATTGGTCCTTCAGTGAGGTAGGTGACCTCACTGAGCAATATGGGCTTCAGAGGCAGAGGGGCGCAGGTTTTACTCTTATAGGGAAAGTCTACATTTTCATATAGCTTCGGCTGCCTATATTTTTTGCATTTGCTGATATTTAATGCAGTTTATATCATGTGTTTGTAACAGGTTTGTTTAAAGTAAATCTTTCAGCTCCGCTAACCTGGAGCAAACCTTTACAATTTTAAAATGTGCAAGAATACACTCACCGGCCACTTTATTAGGTACACCTTGCTGGTGCCAAGAAAATATCCCCCACACCATTACACCACCACCAGCCTGAACCATTGATACAAGGCAAGATGGATCCATGTTTTCATGTTGTTTATGCCAAATTCTGACCCTACCATCTGAATGTCACAGCTGAAACTGAATGCCAATTCTCCTCTTACATCAAGGCATTTCATCCACAGAACTGGATATTTTCTTTTTCCGATCATTCTCTGTAGACCCTAGAGTTGGTTGTGTGTAAAAATTCCAGTAGATCAGAAGTTTTTGAAATACTCAGACCAGCTTGTCTGGCATCAACAATCATGCCACTTTCAACGTCACTTAAATCCCCTTTCTTCCCCATTCTGATGCTTGATTTGAACTTCAGCAAGTCATCTTCACCATGTCTAGATGCCTAAATACATTGAGTTGTTGCTATATGATTAGCTGATTAGCAATTTTTGTTGCCAAGCAATTACCGTATTTTTCGCCGTATAAGACGCACTTTTTCTTCCCCAAAACTGGGGGGGGAAATGTCAGTGCGTCTTATAAGGCGAATATGGAGCGGCCGGTCCGGTATTTCCACCGCGGCCGTGTCAGAATACCGGGCCGGCCGCTCAGCTCTGCAGCGGGACCTTACCTGTTCCTCTATCCAGCGGCGTGCTGTCTTCCCGGCTTCTGTAGTGTGGGCACTGGGCATGACAGCCGGGTGCCAAGTGCGCATGCGCAAGAAGCGGTGCTTTTTGTGAATGGTAAGGCGGTACCTGGGACACATGACAGATCCCAGAAGCCGCCGGACCAATCACAAAGCGCAAGTGCTTCTCGCTCATGCGCACTGGGCACCCGGCTGTCATGCCGAGCGCCATTACAGAAGCCGGGAAGACAGCGCGCGGCTGGATCGAGGAACAGGTAAGATAAAAAAAAAACTCTGCGGAAGTAAGAGCGGGTACCTGTCAAATTCAGGTACCCGCTCCCCACCTCCCCAAAGGTCAGCAGTCATCTGTACTGTCCGCAGTCTCTGGTCATCCCTGTGCTGTCCGCAGTCTCTGGTCATCCCTGTGCTGTCCGCAGTCTCTGGTCATCCCTGTGCTGTCCGCAGTCTCTGGTCATCCCTGTGCTGTCCGCAGTCTCTGGTCATCCCTGTGCTGTCCGCAGTCTCTGGTCATCCCTCTGGTCATCCCTGTGCTGTCCGCAGCAGTCTCTGGTCATCCCTGTGCTGTCCGCAGTCTCTGGTCATCCCTGTGCTGTCCGCAGTCTCTGGTCTCTGTGCTGTCATCTCCTGTGCTGTACTGTGTCTGCACTGTGTCTGCAGTCCATTAGTTCAGAATTTTTTTTTTCCTGTTTTCTGCCTCTAAAACCTAGGTGCGTCTTATGGTCAGGTGCGTCTTATACGGCGAAAAATACGGTAAACAGGTGTACCTAATAAAGTGGCCATTGAGTGTACATAAGCAGATATTGGAATCAGCAAAAAATAGCATCTTAAAGGACTGAGCAGATCCAGAGATGCATTCAGCTGTAATTATACTTATTTCCTGTGATTTTTAGCTTGACCCTGGCTGTTTCTGGAGCCTTATTGTTGGACACTGAGACCAGCCATCACATTGAATAATCAAAAGGGTCATTTTCACTTCAATAAGTCAATGACTTGCAAGTAAATAATGTAGCCACTGCAATCAGAATGCCAAATTAGTGACTTTAAAAATTGTGCTGACGGGTTATTTTTAAGCCTGATTACACACTAACATTGAAAGTGAGTGCTCACTGTATGTTCCTGATGAACAGTAAGTTCTGCCTGTAACTAATAATTGTGTGTACATGTGAATCGGCACTGCTGCCAGGGTTTGCTCAACTTTAGCATGAGTATTGCCAAGGGCAAAAGCATAGAAGTGTATATGGAGCCTAGACCTGTGTGTGTTTTTTTTTTTTTGTTTTTTGTTTTTTTTTTCAATTCCATAATGTCCTAAAATTAAGGATTTTTTCATACTGCTCGAAAATGATTTTCTTGCACAGTTTGTTGGGTGATGCAACATCATAAATTATGATCTCCGCTTACATGAGGATGGACACTTAGAAATTTGTTGGCTTCTTGACAGGCTACACTAAATTATATTTGTAAAACATATTTTTTTTTTCACTTTCCAGAAGCCCTTTTTGCCTTGAGCCCTGAAGAACTTGGATCCCTGGAAGATAAAGATGTGGCAGATTCCAAGGTATTTGTTTGAAGAACTGGACCTTTTTCTGTGCAGCCATTGTTATGGGGGATACGATTGTAAATATCTATGATTCTATGGTAACATATCTTTTAAGATGAGTTCTAGTTATGGAAATCTTTACGCTGGTGCTGCCTGGATGCTTTATGTGGCACACCTGTGGGATCCCTGGGGAAGATGGAAATCACTGTAGTAGGCACTGCCACTACAGTGATCTCCACTAGCTTCTGGGTCCCATGCCAAGTGGCTGTCCTGCTGCATTGTGAACAAAGGTTGCTTGGCACAGATGTAATTTAGGGTACACTTTGCATTTTCTCAGTGGATGCAAAGCATTCTTTGATCGGACAAGTGGAGAGGTAGGAGGTGATGTCATGATGTCCATATAATAAAATCAGAGAACACTTTGCATTCATTAAGAGAATGGAAAGTGTTGTTTGAATGGCGGTTGCTTGGTACGAGATCCAGAAGCTAGTGGCAGTCACTGTAGCAGCAGGCCTACTACAGTGATTTTCAGTTTCCAGGGGGATCCCATGGTATGGCACATACATGCTTACATTGGTCCAAGCTGGACCAATGTAACTATGTAAAAATTGCCATATTTTGAGTTCCATTTTAACGAACAATGAAATGAGCCATTGTTTTAACAATCTCCTATAACTATATAATTGCTACTGGGTTTATTACATCATCTGTCATGTTCACTGTGCATTTTTCTTCCAGGTTCGGATCATTCCATTACAGTTACAGCGACTTTTTGCTCAGCTTCTCCTTGTGGATCAACAGGCTGCATCAACCACTGACCTCACAAACAGCTTTGGCTGGGACAACAGTGAGGTCTGCAATTCTTTTTGTGTTAATATACTGTATATATTTTTATATTGTGCATTTTTATTATATAATTTTATACAAGTCTATGCTTTTTGGCATTTAAAAAAGTAGTGTTGAAGTGAAGCCTACTATTGACAAACTCATTGGATGCAAAATGCAAGATTTCAGAACATGCTAGGCTTCTTTGTCATCTAACGGTACCATTTGGATTACATTTTTTTTTTCCAGATATTTTTTAGTTTTCTAATCAGTATAGGTGGAGGGGAGGGAGCAGTTTTAAAATTAGTGTTACTAAACCCAGGACCCTGCATTCACTATATCTGGCCTCCCACAGTACACACAACATGGAAATGCAATTATTTTAGTAAATGTAAACTGCTAAATACCTTTTCTCATCAGCAGTTAGAGCAGTCTTGTGACTTCAGCAGAGCACTGGTTAAAGCTTGTAGGAGGAGTTTTTCTATCTGTTATAGGAGGATGTGAAACCTCTTACCCTCTGGCTGTGCAGTGTTGCTTGGCCCTGTGCTGATCACATGCACCCTCCCAAGAAAAAAATAAATAAACCTCCATAGCAATACACACCAAACTGAGCATGTGACCACAGGTTCAGTCTGTATCAGGTGGTCATTTCAACAAGAGGAGGGGCAGAGAAGAAAGGATCAAACAGCCTTTTTACACAATGCAGAGCATTAACTCCTTAGGTTCCACCATGTATAACAAGCATGCTTTAATTCATATACATAAGATTTTACTGTTGTGGGTTTAGTAACACTTTAACCGCTTCCTGACCGCCCTATATACAGAAATACTGCTACAGGGCGGCACTGGTGCGCAAACTCACACATTATATATATATATATGTATGTATGTGTATATGTGTATATATATATATATATATATATATATATATATGTGTGTATATGTATGTATGTATGTATGTATGTATGTATGTGTGTGTTTTTGGATTTCCGGGTAGGGGGCGCGCATCCTGCCCACGCCGTCATTTGTGGCCATGGCTGTCAATCACCGGGTCCCGGCCGGTGATTACTCGCAGACGCCCGGTGATTACCGAGCATCTCCGACGGGGAGGAGAACTGTTTGTAAACAAAACAGTTCTCCATCAGCTCTTGCGCACTGCTTTGCAGGGCTGTGCACAGCATAGCCATGCAAAGCAGTGTGCTTACAGTGAAGCACATGGACACAGACACAAGTAAAACAGCACACGGTTAACCCGTTGATCGCCCCTCATGTTAACCCCTTCCTGCCCAGTGCCAATAGTACTGCGTAAGTGCTTTTTTTTAGCACTGATCACTGTATTGGTGACACTGGGGATGTCAGTGACACCAAGTCAGTTCCCCCCAGTGTCAGAATGCCCGCCACAGTCCCACGATAAGTCGCTGATTACCGCCATTACTCGTAAAAATTAAAAAAAAAAAAAAAAAATCCCAGTATATGTACCGCCATTTGTAAACGCTATAACTTTGACGTAAACCAATTCATTTACATGTATTAGGATTTTTTTTTTAGCAAAGACTTGTAGTAGAATACATTTTGACCTAAATTTATGACGAAATTAGATTTTTAAAACATTTTTTACTTTACATGTTTAATAGCAAAAAGTAAAAAATATAGGTTTTAATTCCCTCAAAATTGTCAGTCTTTTTTTTTTTTTTTGTATAATAAAAATTAAAAACGCACAAGTGATCAAATACCACCAAAAAAAAAGCAGAGTTCGTGGGAAAATAAGGACGTAAATTTCATTTGGGTGCAGCGTTGCATGACCGCGCAATTGTCCGTTAAAGTAACGCAGCGCCGTAACGCAAAAAATGGCCTGGTCAGGAAGGGGAGTAAATCCTCAGGAGGGCAAGTAGTGACACTAAAGGTAAAAATATTTGTGGCAATCAAGAAGTCTCCCTCAGTTAGTGTTGCCAAGATATTCCAAGACGCGTATCCTTGGTTTTCTAGGGTTGGTTACACACACTTTTTCTATACATTATTATCAATACAGTATTCCAATATCTAAATAGTTTTTGAGAATACCACAACATTTGAAGAAAGTCCTTTTTGTAGGCCTCATTCACACTGTATGTAGAGATATCGGTTTTTTTGCGCGTTTTCTGTAAGGGCACAAAAAACAATTGTTCTCTGTCCTCTTCACACCATAACACTGGTATCACATGCTTTTTTTTTTTTCCTGCACGGGAATCTGCAACATGTATAAAACTCACTGAAGCTTGCATAAAAACTGATTTAAAATGTCTGTGCAAGTGAAATATGCACATCAGTTTCCATTAGTTTTTCTTCACGTATGGTGTGAATGAGGCCTTACATTTTGTGATCTAGTGGGTCAGAATTTTTTTCCCATATCCTAGTCTGTTTGGTGTATAATGGACTCTAAACGCTTCATAAAGTTGTGTTAGGCGCTGAGTTAAAGTGTGTGTATTTTGCTAACAATGAACATCTCTTATTTGCTCTTTTTTTGTCTTTTCTGTTAAATATACATTTGGAAGCATTTTGATAAGTGCAGTAAAGATTCTGTGCCAGAAATTGAGCTCTATGTCCTCTGCACACTTCCTGTGTTATTTCAAAAAACCCTCCTAGTTGTTATCAAGGCTACAGAATAGTTATCTTCCATGCTTTAGAGATCTGATTGTGGGAGAGGCGGAGTAGTCTAGCAAAACACACTGGGCAGGACTGATACCACTCCATCCACAAAAAAGCTTTGTGGCAGCTCAAAAAGGGGCTTAAAGTGGATTTCCTGGCTAGAACTAACTAAGCTTGAAACTGCTCCCACTCACCTTCTTACACCTATACTATCTACTATGTAGAAGGAGGATGCTTATACTTGCCTATTCCCAGAGCACTCTGGTCCAGTCACTTGATCGGTTCCCAGTGACTGATTTCACAGGAGATGAGGGACAGCTGACAATGTACTCTCAATAGTGAGTCTATTCATTGCTCAGGCATTCCATCCGTTGTTGGCACTCTTTTTTTTTTTTTTTTTTTTTTTTTTGTGCTTCCTGAACCTGGCCACTGGAGAGATTACATGAAAGGACCAGAGCCACCTGAGAATAGGTAAGTATATGCAGCTTCCTTCTACAGGGTAGTTAGTATAAAAGTTAGAATGTTATTGGAAGCAATTTTAACTTATTTAGTTCTAGCCTGGACTTCTGCGTTTAAATGTGGTTCTGGCAGATCAACAGGTATGTACAGGTAAAGAGATAAAATACTGTGAAATGTGTATCAATTGCAGAGAGTGTACTACATCCTCCTCCTTTTTTTTTTTTTTTTTTTTTTTTTTTTTTTTTTTTTTCCTCTTTGCTTCACCTACACTATAAATTGAGAAATGTGTGTTTGGGAATTGCTTGTACCAACGTAATTTTAATATTTTGTTCAAAACCTTTATGATTATCATTAAGTTTTAATTCTATTGGTTCTTTTCATTTGTACCTATAACTCTTGCAGGAGACCGGCCAACAGGATGTCCAGGAGTTAAACCGGATCTTATTTAGTGCCTTGGAAAGCTCTTTGGAGGGCACCTCTGGCCACAACCTCATCAAGAATTTATACCATGGCACAGTGGTAAATCGTATTACGTGCCAGGAGTGTGGTTATGTTAGTGAGAGGCAGGTAAGAGTCACCACATGACTTTATTGTATTAAAAAGTGATTGGCACTAAATGAGTACAAGCAGACTTTTTTATGTTTATATCATTTAATAAATCCTAGTAGCCAAGGCTTGAAAAATCTAGGTAACAGGCCTGGTCGGTGAGTATCCCACTGACTCTTGAAAACTTAAAACAGGATGGACACACACTTACAAATTATTACTACAGTTCACGTATACTTGCAAAAAAAATGTAAAAATCGTACATCAGCAGTGAAGTGTGTCATGTGTACAAGTGGCTGCTGTTTACAGTAGAAGCCCTCAGTTCTCTGGGCCCCAGATACCTTCACAATGATTATCTTCCAGTGCCAGAGGGGTTAATAGCAGCAGCTGCACCCATGACAGGCACTTGTCAAAAGTACCAACTATTCCCACCCTTTCCAACTCTGTGCTTTGTTTATACACCCAAACTATAGGTTTCCACAATGCAAAGCATTCAGTGATTGAAGGATGTATTAAAGGTGTTCCCCTCTTCCCAAGCTGAAACAGGTTGTGCCTCCTGCCAGGTCAGCGCTGGGTGCAGAAATGAAAACCAGTTTCTCCTGGCCCTGGGATTGCCACCACTCCTTTTGTAATTGTGAATTTAATATATTCCATGCAGGAAGATTTCCTGGACCTTACAGTGGTTGTGAAGCATATGTGCAGCTTGGAGGAGTCTTTATACAACATGTATGTGGAGGAAGAAATATTTGACGGTGACAATCTTTACCGTTGTGGAGCTTGTCATAAGCTTGTTCCTGCAGCCAAGGTAGTTATAAGTAGTAAATAATCATTCTGTTGAAAGTATAAGGTAACTGAACTTTCAGTTTTAATTTAGTAAGGGCTCATTTACACTTGCTTCAAATTCCACAAATTCTAATTGAACACGCATTAAAGCGCCTACCACTTCAACATGCTTTTTCGATGTGTTTTTGATGCTTCAATTATGCTTTTTTTGACGCTTTAATGAAGCTTGGCAAATGCTCTGTGTATGTGTTGATTTTCTATTTGTTTTAAAAGAGTTCTTAAGAAGCCCCTTTGGCAGATCTCCATCTCATTAGTACCCCTGTTCACCAGATCCTCAGCTCATTGGTGCCCTCATTCAGCACATCCCCTGCTCAGTAGTACTCCCAGCTCTGCTGATGCCCCACTCACAACTATCCCCAGCTTTGTAAATCCCCTGCTCAGTAGTAACCCCCCAGCTCTGCTGATCTTCTGGTTTGCTGATCCACCTCTCTCTGGTCCCCGCTCTTCTCCAGTTAAATACTGTGCACCATGTGTGACATTGCTACAGTACCTTGAAAAAGTATTCATACCCTTTGAAATTTTCCACATTTTTTCATATTACAACCAAAAACGTAGATGTATTTTATTGGGATTTTATGGGCTAAAACAACGCAAAATGGGAAATAATTGTGAAGTGGAAGGAAAATGATAAATGGTTTTCAACATTTTTTACAAATATCTGAAAAGTGTGGCGAGCATTTGTATTTAGCCCTCTTTACTCTGATACCCCCTAGCTAAAATTTAGTGGAACCAATTGCCTTCAGAAGTCACCTAATTAGTAAATAGTCCACCTGTGTGTAATTTAATCTCAGTATAAATACAGCTGTCCTATGAAGCCCTCAGGCGTTTGTTAGAGAACATTAGTGAACAAACAGCATCATGAAGTCCAAGGAATACATCACATGGGTCAGGGATAAAGTTGTGGAGACGTTTTTAAAGCCGGGTTAGGTTATAAAAAAAGCCATGTATCATTTTCTTTCCACTTCACAATTATGTGTCATTTAGCTTTCCTGATCCTCTTCCGCTCACTCCCCTCTCTCCACCTTCTGCTATAGCGTTCACAGGTTGCACACCATGTGTGCTGTCTGCTAGTGGTTTTGCTCCGGTCCAGACCCCGCTTGCCTTCCTGCTGCTCCTCACTGCACACCACACACCGGTGACATCTGCACCAAACACCTCTAGAGTATATACACATGAACCGGAAGGGTCTGTTGATGTCTTTCCTATTTGCTTGTTGGTTTCCCAGTGCATCCTGGGATATCTTATACCTGCAATACCGCTAAAGCTGAATAAATGCCTCTTAAGAGCTGTAGATGCTGCAAACGAGCTTTATCATTGACTTCCATGGAAGCTTTGAAGCACTGAGAAAGCGATATGGAGTAACATTTTTGAAGCAAACACAACTTGTAAATAAGACTGTACGCGTGCCATTTTATTTAGTGACAGGAACTTTGATTGACATTCAGAGGGCTTTAAAAAAGCATGTCCAATGCCACATTTTCAAGTGCATGTAAACAAGCCCTAACAGTACACCAGTTTTACTTCAGCTCATTAAACTGTACTTAGGAAACTAGATCTACACATTATACAAGGTTGATACATTAATACAGGGCTCAAAATTGCAAGTCCTGAGCTACTAGCCAGGCCTTAAGAGTTACTTGCCACCAGTTGCCCCACCCAACCCCTACCCTGCTCCGCCCCTAAACACGCCCTCATAAATTAGCTCATGAACTGACACTGTTAAATGTCTTATGCTGAATAAATATTAACAACAACAAATTGAGCAATATTAACATAAAGCAATATAAACACCTCCTCCATCCCATGTCCTCCTCCTCCAGTCCCCTCTCCCCCATACCATGTCCTTTATCAGTCTCCCTTTACCACCACAGCCTCCCTGTTACCATCAGAGCCGGCAGGCAAGTGGAAATTTTGAGGCCTGTGTTAATACATTTGAAGATTATTTACCTTAAGGTGATCTTTCAAATATCTAAAAAAGCAAAAAAAAAAAGATGTGTGCTATAGGAATGGGCATTTATTACAAAAATACCCACTGCTTTTTTTTTTTTTTCCCAATTTTTACTTTGTTGCAAGAAGATCACAAAGACAGAGCCACAATAAATAGGTACACTTTATAAAGTAGGGGCAAAAATGTTTCCGGTGTCAGACTCAAAGTATTACATGAGCTAACAGAATACATGGTGTCGGTGTATGTAAGGTGGAAGTCTCATTCAGAGTGATGATCTGCAATCTAGTTCAGATGGTGAGAGTCCAGATTGCAGATCCTCTAAAGATATTACAATCGCAGCTCCGGAGAGCTTCATCTTATGGCAATAAGGTAAAAGTAAAAAGAGAGCAATAGGGAAAGCTGATTTCTGCAAGTGGATGGGGCAAAGGCAAGGGTGGGGGGGGGGGGTTAAGGAGGGTGGCTAGAATGTTAGGAGGGAAAAAGGTAGGAAAGGAAAGAATAAAAATGGGGGTATAAGGTTATGTAAGGCCTGCAGCAGAGGAGGGAGGGGGAGGGAAGGAAGTCGCTTGGTGCAAAACAGGAAGGCGTCTCAGACCAGCTCTGAGGAAATAGGTGGGTAGTCTCCACTAAAAAAAAAAAGCTTTATGTAGGTTTGTCATAAACCTTTTTTTTTTTTTTTTTTTTTTTTTTTTAGTTTTGGAGAGTAGGGAAAATGAAAATCTCGGTCAGGTTATTTTTGTTGTCTGTCTGCCTGGTAGATTTCTGTATACTTCTTACCATGGTGATACAACAGAAAAGAAGAGGAAATCTCCCCATGTTAGGGTAATTCCTGTCTTAAACTGTTGTCTCAAATGGATGATTTACTTTCACCTCTTGCTCTGGTGACATTATTAACATTTTGTTTTTCCCCTTACTTTCCATCTTTACATACACTTTAAATTGTTATGATAGCACAACCTTACTCCTCAGTATAAGTGATTGCCTGTGTTTTTTTTTTTTTTTGTTTTGTTTTGTTTTTTGCTTGCTAGCCTCACATCGAAAATTAATAGGTTACTAGTGATGCGAAAAGTCTCGTAAAACAGAATACAACATCCTGCGATGATTTATTGTATTGAAATGTATTCTTTTGTTTTTGAGCATGCGCGGTCTTGGTCACTTGATTTTTTTTTTTTTACAGATGAATACAGTACTGATTAAATGGAAATCATTAGTTCTGTTCTCTTACGAGAATCATTTTCATGACTGTCCCTTTGGATAATTTTGCATTCATAATTGGCTCTCGAAACCTGTGTACTGACGATCAGATTACCTTACGATGGGTCCAAAACGTTCTTTTTATTTCATCCGATTTTTTTCCTTGTGTATGCTAGGCTTTACTCTTTCACTGTCGATGCACCAGTCTGCCAGTGTTTGTTGGATGGTAAACAGAATTTAATTTATGGCCATCTTTCTCTGTTTTATAAGTGTTTCATTAGCCTTGAGCTTAGACAGGAGATAAAATGACCTTACAGCATGAATCAAATAAAAGTAATAAAGCGAGCGCTTTCTAAAAAATATAATAATAATAAAAAGCTGCTAGCATAAAGAAAAAACCTCTAAAATCCTCAAACATATAATGTAATCAAAAATGCAGTGCTAGAATAAATAATTAACATGGAAAATTGGTGATAATTGCGCAAAATAGTGCGCTGGCAAGTGATATAGCAGTGATGTCTTAATGAAGACAACAGATAATCAGAAAGTGACAGCAATATCATATAAATACATTATATGTCATACATTGATAGATCAATAAAGGTCCATAAATTTATTCAAAAGGTGCGTCAGCTTTCCCAAATAAGGGAAAAAAGCAAACATTCACTTTAAACTTCCATCACATAATCATAAGGAGCACGTGGCTTCCATGATGAGAAAGAAAGGGGTGTGCTTGCACTCACTGGACGTAAAGTCATTTTACGCATGTAGTATAAGGGACACTAGTGGTCATCTGGAACCTGGTTGGATGTGGCACTCCGATGGCGCTTGGTATACCCAGGGACAATACTCCAGACCTCTCAGTGGACCCTCTCCGACGATGGGAACTGCTCGCAGGTTTTACTTACACCTGGCAATAGGTGAGTTCAGCAACAATAGGAGATCCACCTTTAGTCGCTCAAAAAAAGCCACCAGGACAAAAAGCTGATATAGTATAGTAGTTTATTTAGCCCAATAATGGCAATCACATATCGAGGCAACAAGTATGTTATCAAACATGTAGCAGCGGGTGGCAACAGCTACAGTCAGTAAATGCAGGTAGCATATATTAGCATGTGGTAGCAGGTAGCCAATAGCTATAGTAGGTGTATCAAATATAATGTGTAAATCTCATGCATGAAGATCCAAAATTTCCAAAATCCAAGATGGCTGCTGGCCAAACACGTGGCTCCAGCAGCTAAGGGTGGCGTCGGCAAGTCAGGGGATCAGCCTGCCGATATGTGATTACCATTATTGGGCTGAATAAACTACTATACTATATCAGCTTTTTGTCCTGGTGGCTTTTTTTTGAGCGGCTTAAGGTGGATCTCCTATTGTTGCTGAACTCACCTATTGCCAGGTGTAAGTAAAACCTGCGAGCAGTTCCCACCGTCGGAGAGGGTCCACTGAGAGGTCTAGAGTATTGTCCCTGGGTATACCAAGCGCCATCAGAGTGCCACATGCCAACCAGGTTCCAGATGACCACTAGTATCCCTTATACTACATGCGTAAAATCATTTTACGCCCTGTGAGTGCAAGCACACCCCTTCTTTTCTCATCACGGAAGTCACGTGCACATATGATTATGCGATGGAAGTTTAAAGTGAATGTTTGATATCTTCCTTATTTGGGAAAGCTGACGCACCTTTTGAATAAATTTATGGACCTTTATTGATCTGTCTATCATTGTATGACATATAATTTATTTATATGATAGTGCTGTCACTTTCTGA